AAGTAAATGTAACTAGTTATGACCCAGCTCTGGCTATAATATAATTGTTTTGTGGTAGCTGAGCATCATTTCCAACACATTCAGAGTGCAAAATCTTTGTTTAAAACTTTGGCATTACCCATTAGAGACAAGTTGCCTGTTGGCAGAAAATTCAGAAACCTCAGTTTTTGTCAAACTTTACACTAGGTGTAAATCAGCAACTCTATCACAATGGGATATTGTTTTGTCTGGCTGATGAAATTATGCTTCTCTATATCACAAAGTCTGTCATGGTAGGATTTTGATTTAATTCACACGCCTGCGATCGAAATATCGATCCACATCGTGCACATGATGACGATATGAGTCAATGTTTTTATTTGACCTTGATGTAATTGAGTCATTAATTGTTCAATCAATATATTGATGTGGATTGCTGTATTAATACGACCCTATTGTACACTGCAACCTGCTGAAAGTATTTTTCTGGAAAAACTTGTAGTCAATTTTGTGTCTGTGACATCCATCTGATCTTTGTTGACTCCAAATGTTAATCAGTTGTAGAAATACAAACAATAACTTTTTGAGATTTTGATTAATATACTTGGAGGGATATCTACATTTTTTCACCAACAGAGACAAAGTAGTGTTAGCATTTTGAAATCACATCTTGCTCAGTCTGTTAAATCTCACAGTTTGTGAGAAGGATGACTCTAAAGCTGGATTTATACTTTTGGGGAAATTAGATGTTCATGTGAAAAAGAAAGTCTTGCAACTACATGAGTGAGTGCAAGTTTCTCATTTATTTGAAGAATAGAAATCTAGCTTTTAGTCAATTTATTTTTACCTTTCAAGGAGCACACTGATGGCAGTTTTACGGCCAATCTCTGAGCTTCAAAAAGTCTGACCGGCTGTTTCTGATTTTGTCTGATACAGATTTTTTTTAAATAACTGACACTGTCAGGTGTTATAAGGTCACTATGCACCTTCAATGTTCCATTCTTATTTTACTTAAATACATTGAACAATACCCTTAAACAATACAAACTTGTTTTAATTGGACATTATGTAGTGCTCACAGCAGAGCAAAAGAGGACAGTGTCTCATTTTTATACCTTTATTGAGGTAGATGAGAAATTGATCTTTTTACTAATCTTATTCAAGTATTGGCTCATCTCAGTCTCTCAAAATTAAGGAAATCTGTGGCGGTAAACTGGCTGGACAATTTATCTTTGCACCCCTATTTCAAACAAAGTGTTGTAAGTGTACGTGCCAGACAAGAAACCCAAACAGGATTCCAGCCAACAACCAGCTGAAAATGAAGACCCTAAACCCAGACCCAAATCTGTCGTCATTCCATATGTGGCGGGAGTTTCAGAGAAACTAAGACGTTTATTCTCTAAACATGACGTCCCAGTGGCTTTCAAACCCCAAAACACGTTACAACGAAGATTAGTTCACCCCAAAGATCCAGTTCCCCGGCAAAAACAGAGTAATATAGTATATGCTGTTAAGTGTCAGGAGGACTGTGATCAGTCATACATTGGGGAAACAAAACGGCCACTGTTCAAAAGAATGAGCCAGCACAGACGAGCTACATGATCAGGTCAGGACTCTGCAGTTTACACTCATCTACAGGTCAGCGGTCACTCTTTCAGGGATGAGGATGTTCTCATCCTTAATAGAGAGGAACATTGGTTTGAGGGAGGAGTAAAGGAAGCCATTTTTGTAAAGAAAGACCGTCCATTAAACAGAGGTGGAGGCCTTCGTGTCCATTTGTCTTCCGCCTACAATGCTGTTATTGCAAGTATGACTCCGCCCACTGTGAGCAAAAGGTGTGAATCAGGGCCCCAATGATACCAACACAAAGAAGGAGGGAGGGACAAAAACAAGGGGATGTTGAACCCCTGCTTGCATTCAATACATTCACATAACACGACATGGGTCAGGTGATGGGGCACATGACCCTCTATGAACAATAGAGCTAATCAAGCCTATTGTTAGTCGATGGCCCTGTTTCGCATTTGACTAACCTGTTTGTCCATGTGGAGGCAGTGCTTATAAGACTGGGTTTCACCTGAAACTCATCAGACTGAAGAAGTCTCTTGGAGGAGAGACGAAACGTTTCACTAAAGAAGAACCCATCCAGAGGACCTACTGATTTTTTCTTTTTGATTTTTTTCTACCTGGATTACTGAGATGCATCAGGACACAAAGTTTAACTATTTTTCACCAGACAAAAACAAAACAGAAAAAGAAAGCAACAGCCGAGCAAAGAGAAACAAAATCYCAAGAAAAAACAAACACAAGCTAATTTAAAAAAGCAATTAAGTGTAAAATGAATGTGCAGTTGGACATGAACCCTCCAATTTTGTTTTTTTCTCACACCATTTTGTCTCTTCAGGATGGATCTAACCCTCCGGCTGCTCATGTGGCAGCAYCTGTTCTCCAGCTGTGGACTTGTCACTCTTCATCAGAGCCTACTGCAGCTCTGGATGCTGCTGCTGCTCTGCCTCATCTGCAGGTTTACCTTCATACTTGGTGAGGAACCTACTCAGGAAGCTGGAGCCAGAACTCAGTTAGTGCCAGCTTTTTCTCTTTCCACCACTGTAAGTTCTGGCTCTAGCACTGAAAAACCAGTTCTAACTTAGTACCCAATGTTAGCTGGGCCAGAGTAAAGATCTGCTGTGGGCTTGAACATATTTTGCTTCAACAGAAATAGGAAGTTAAAGTAGCAGTGGAATAATCTGCATGGTCTTCAACTACTTTCACCAGTTTGTGTTTTTTTTTAACTGGCAGTCACATAGCACTGTGCATTGGTTCAGAGCGCTGCACAAAGCTGCCTTCAGTTCGTATAGATTGAGTCCATAAGCTCTGTTTGAAGTGCGTTTATAACAATAAKTTTCTTTAATGTCACTTAAGGACTGTGCAATATAGCTGAAAAATGTTTCAGGAAATGTGTTTCATATCAGTCGAAATTGAAAATTTATTAGTTTTATTTGTTTGTTTTATGTATTTGAGATAAGGACCAGGGGTCGGATTTAAAAAGAATTGCATGGAAACCATACTAAAAAATAAGATAAAGAAATAAAAATAAAAACAAAACAGATTTATAAAACCGTGCGTATGCAGGTTTCTGCGCACCTTTCCTTTATTAATCACAGCTGCACCTCAAGAGTTTGCYCACAAGGTCCTGCCTCAGGTTCTGCCCTCTGCACGCCCACATTCAACCATAAACAGTCAATGCAAAGTACCTCATGAATGTTAAGGTGTATTTAAACATTGATGTATATTACTGGGTTGGGCGTAGCTAGCGTGTTGCTAGCTACATTGACGTGCACGCACTGGAGCTCTGTTATGCATTAAGGAGCCTCAACTAAATGAATAGATGTCAATGGACTGTGAGCCYTCATCCTGAAGAAAAACTCTTATAAATTTCTTATTTATGCTCGATTTTTACAAACTATGGTTCAAAAGAAAGCTAAGGAAATTGTGAATTTTATAGTTATGGAAATATAAAATAAATAAATTAATAATTTAAATGATTAACAGTGGCTTAAAATAACAATATCTTGTGTTTCAGAGGTGCTGTTTTCAAACAAATCAATGAGATCTGACAGCTGGATTCTCATACATATATTTATTAATTAGAGCTGAGTATTTGCAAGTGTACATAGTACAATATATGTATTTATACTGTTTGATAGTTTTATGTCAGCTTAACTTTACAAAAGTTTTTGRTGTAAACTACAATAATTRTAACATCAGTAAAAACAAACAAAAAATACTAATTATTTCAGGTCACAAAGAATTGTTTAATGAATTTATTTTAGAACAAAACATTCTTCAGCTTCATAATGAAGCAGGCTGTATCTGAAGCCGACTCACAGCTGGCACACATTTTCTTTCTACTTTTTTCTGGAAATGTTGAAAAACACACAAATCCTGAATATAGAAAATATAATATCTGAATAAACCGGCCTGTCTGACAATGTGACTATTTAATGTTTATGATGTTCAATCATTACATTATGTGATGGAGCATCCCTGCCCCTTCACACTTTTCAGCAGACTTTGATTTAGATCACAGTTCCTATACACACACAGTTTACACATAGTCATGTCATCCTCACATTCTCCTTTCAGTTAGTTTACAATTGGTCAGTAAAGTCATTATCATTATCTGTTTTCCCTCGTCAGCTTAGAACAACCAGGGGTGCGCACTTTGGGGTTCAGTTCAGGAAAAACATACATTTTAAACACACTGCTACTTATCAATCAAAGTTGTTGCTATATCAGTCAGTTGCTTCCCTAATTGCATGGGTAGAAGCAGGTGGGATGCTTTCATTTTATGCTATGATCAGGTGATTTTGTTTTTTGTTTTTTTTTGTTGGTGATTGAAAGTAAAGCTGAAATGTTAATTTTGTATTTATTTTATGTTGAAACCAATGCATTTTGTTGAAAAGAAATGTAAAGCTGTTTATTGGGTAAAAATAAGAAAATGATGTGCCTGATGGGAGGGGCTATAGAGTAGAGTTGCTACCCATCACTGAGGAGGCAGGGTAGAAAATGACTGAGGGATCTAGAGTGAAATGTGTTGGTTGGGTTTTTTCAAACGACTTGTAATGAAGACAAGTGTTTTTCCTTGTGAAGAACAAGAATAAAATCCAGATGAGCAGAAATGTTCCTGACCTGCCAGTGGATTTTTGAATTATATTTTGGCGATGTTGGCCTGAAGAATAACCCCATGACAAATGGTGTCAGAAGTGGGATGGCAAGTCGCAAGAAAATTGCTCATTCTCCCAAAAAGAGGACTGGATTACGCTCACAACCAACAATGGAGTTGGCAGAAGAAGCTGCTACAGAAACATTGAAAACCAAGGAGTCATCCTCAGCAGATTCTTCAGCAGAAACAAAGGAACCTGGGCCATCATCAGCAGCAGAAGCTGCAGCACACCCAACAGGTCAAGTAATGGTAAATGGATGGAATGATAAATGGACTGTACTTATATAGCGCCTTTCTATCCATCCGGGACATTCAAAGCGCTTCACGCTACACACATTCACACACTGATGATGGCAAACTACAATTGTAGCCACAGCTGCCCTGGGGTACACTGACAGAGGTGGGGCTGCCATACACAGGCGCCACTGGACCCTCTGAACACCATCAGTAGGCAAGGCGGGTAAGGTCTCTTGGCCAAGGACACAACGACTGAGTCGACTGGACGGGGATCGAACCGGCAACCTTCCAGTTCCAGGACGACTCCCCTAACCCCTCTACCACAGCCGCCTTATAAATGTAATGCACTCATCAGAGGAGGAAGAGTGTCAATCCCTGTCTGGGCGTGGCACAGCTGGTGGTGAAATGTTTGCCTTGATGAAAGACTTTCTGGCAGCACAAGAGAAAAGAGAAGAAGGATAGTTACAAGAACTTCAAATTTTAAGGGGGACACTGTAACACGCAGTTCAGTCACCTCCAACAAAGGCAACTAAAATGAAAGGACTTAATCTGCCAACAAGCTCTCGGACAGCAAAGAGCTCCAGAGGTAAAATGCCAACACAGTTTCTCATCACACCAATGAGTCAGAGAGACTCAGATTGTACAGACTCTGATACTACAGATACAGTGGTTTGCAAAAGTATTCATACCCCTTGAACTTTTCCATATTTTGTCACATTACAACCACAAACATAAATATATTTCACTGGAATTTAATGTGAAAGACCAACACAAAGTGGTTTACAATTGTGAAGTGGAAGCAAAATTTTACATGAATCAAAACATTTT